TCTAAGGAGGCGGCTGAGCCCGGCGTCCACCTGTATTTCACATCACAGCACCTCAGTAGCACAGACAGGCCTGCCTGGGGTGGGTCACTTTGGTGTCACCCACAAGGGGAACATGGAGTTTCTCTAGTCAGCAGGAGTAAAACACTCTTGAGGACATATAGTGTCTGAAGACTTGGCAGGTTTCAGGAAGAGTGACTGTCTTATAACCTAAAGGAACCCAGGGGTGGGAGCCCATGGGTGGGAATGGGGTCCTCTCCTAAGGGGCAGCTTTTCCTCCTCTCTCCTTTCCCAGGTGCCCCTCAGGAAGCGAGGCCACCATGGCTCTGAAGACCCTCATCCTGTTCTACCTGCTGGTCCTGGGGCTACTGGTGATCGTGGGGGCCCAGCCTCATGCTTTCAAGAGGTTCCAGGAGAGGCACATAGAGCGCCATGAAAACCCTTTCAACTCCCTCTACTGCAACAAGGTCATGAAGCAAAGGAATTTAACCAGGAACTTCAACACCTTTGTGCATGAGTCCATTAATAAGGTCAAGGATGTCTGCAAGGAGAGAAACTACCGCTGCAAAGATCAAACGTATAACTGCCACAAGAGTAGGAATCAAATGAGAATCACAGAGTGTAATAGGACAGGCAGTAACCCCCCTAAGTACCAGACCAAAAGTAGAAGGAAGTATATCATCATTGCCTGTGATCCTACCAGGGTTTGGCCCGTCCACTTTGATCGTTCCATGTAGGTCTCCTGCAGAGCCTGGATAGAGACCCCCGGCCCCACCCGTAGCCTCCTGCCCTGTTGGCTGTGGCCCCTCCTCTCTCATCTCTTCCCTTCACCCTGAAGGCAAAATCCAGGTGGGCTCCTGGCCTCCCTAGCCAGCATCCCTGCCTGAGGCTTGTGCCCGTGGCCTTGGGGTGAGACCTAGCTTCCTGTCCCCATGTTAATTCCCCCACTGCTTCTTTCGATAAAATGCACTTGCAACCTCAAGTTGCCCCCTCTGCCCCTCTGGGTGTCTGTGTGATGCTTCCCTGCAGGGGCTGGGACCAGGGATCTGGGCAGCACAGGGAGGAGTCAGGTGCCTGCTCCTTTGAGTTCTCAGGACCTCAGAGACTCCTTTCCTGGGGAGTCTTAGATGACAGCTGAATTAAAAAAAATATTTGTTTATACATGCAGATTGGGGTATAGGTGAGAGGTGTGGGGCAGTGAGAGGCTTCACCAGACACAGAGTGGGGAGCGGAACAGGCAGATCCACTGAAATACACTGCTGAGGGGAGCAGTGGGTGAGGTTTTAGGGTTTGATCTATCTGCAGCTCCTCTACATAACTCTAACCCACAGACAAGTTGTTACTGTAGATGAGCCCTCCCACATGTTTATTTTAAGGCCCCAAAGTGGGGATGGAGGGTTGTAGGAATTGTTCAGAACTGGTGATGCCCACTCCCAAAATAGAGACTTCCTTCTCTTCCTGGTTCTGTCACTCTCCCCTTTTATCTGAATGGGGAAGCCTTCTAGCTTGACACCTCTCTCCCAACCCCCTTGTCTCTGGAAAACTACCAATGGGAGACATGGATTCCTGGCCATGCTGCTTCAGGATTCTGGGCAGAGAGCAGCTTCTACCCTCTCTCCCTTGAGATCACAAGTTGCATGCCCTTTGTTAACCTCCAAGGAATAATCCTTGAAAATGGCCTCCAAAAAGAAAACCAGGACTTAGGTGGGGTTCAGGCATCAGTACTGTATGATATTCCCTGTTATTTCTGGGGACCAGCAAACAGCTGAGTCCACATGGGAAGAGGGGCCCCTCCCAGCTGGGGGAAGCCTGGCCACATTCCCCCTTTCTCATATTCTCCTCCTCTACCTCTGACTGAAGGGCTGAGGCTCCTCCCACTGGCCTCTTCTTGGAAGCCCCGCCCCCTGTAGTCTCTATAAATCTGCACCCAGGGACCCTGGAATTGCAGAATCTGGCCTCCTTTATCTCCCAGAGACCAAGCTAGACGCCCAGGTGAGTGCCCACTGGGGGTCTCTGAGCTGCTTCTGTTGAAGGTGGAGAGGAAGAGCAGGAGGGGCGAGGCCAGCGCTGAGGCAGCTTGGGCCAGGCAGAGCTGGGCGGGTAGAGCTGGCAGCTGCAAAGGGACCCCATGGGGCTGGACAGGAGCCGCTCCCGGGTGGGAGGGTGAGCATCTCCCTGGGGAGCACAATGCTGTCTCTTTGTGAGGCCAGTGTCAGGCCCTGGGCGGAGTGTCCCTTAGGCGGGAGGACAGCAGGGCCCGTCAGCCTGATCACAAGTGTCAGGGAAGCTCATGGCGTATTTGACAGGGTCTTCTAAGGAGGCGGCTGAGCTTTATGTACAAATATATTTTACATTAAAAGTTCTCTGGTAGTCGCAGACAGGACTGCCTGGGAGTAGTTCACTTTGTCGTCACCACAAAGGGCTTCTCTAACAGCAGAAATAAACACTTTGAGAACAGAATAGTGTCTGAATACTTGGCAGATCTCACAGGAAGAGGTGACTTTCTTACTGACCCGGGGAACCTGTAACAGGAAGCCCAGGGGTGGGAGTGGCATCCTTTCCTAAGGGCGGCTTTTCCTCCCTTCTGCTTTCCCAGGAAGGGACCTGGGAAGCGAGGCCACCATGGCTCTGAAGTCCCTCGTCCTGTTCTCCCTGCTGGTTGTGGGGCTGCTGGTGCTGGGGGGTGTCCAGCCTTCCCTGGGGAAGGAATCTCGAGCCTTAAAGTTCCAGCGGCAGCACATGGACCCGGGTAATTTCCCCAACAACCCCACCTACTGCAACCTGATGATGAGGCGTCGGAATATGACGCAGGGGCGCTGTAAGCCGGTGAACACCTTTGTGCACGAGACCATGGTGGACGTCCAGGCTGTCTGCCTTGAGAGAAACATCACCTGCAAGAATGGGCAGCCCAACTGCTACCAAAGCCGCTCCAGCATGCGCATCACAGACTGTCGCCTGACTGGTGGCTCCAGGTACCCCAACTGTGCCTACCGGACCAGCCAGAAAGAGCGACACATCATTGTGGCCTGTGAGGGAAACCCGTACGTGCCTGTCCACTTCGATGCTGCTGTGGAGGTCTCCCCCTGAGGCTGGGGCAGAAGCGCCCCACCAGCACTCCCTTGAGGCCCCTACTCTCCAGGGCTCTTCCCTGTAGGCCCAGACAGGAAGAACTCTGGTTGAGGCTCCTGGCCATCCCACAGTAGCATTGCAGCCTGAGGCTTGCACCACGTGGTTTTGGGGATGAAACGCAGCTTGCATGTGTCCCCACGGTAACCTCCTCACTGCTTCTTTCAATAAAACACACTTACAACCTGAAGCTGCCCCATCCAGGGGTGTCTGTGTGATGCTTCCCTGCAGGGCTGAGACCTGGGATCTGGGCACCTTGGTGAGCAGCATGGGGTGGGGGTGGTTCCAGGAGGCTGCTCCTCTGACTCTGTTCTCAGTGACCTGAGAATCCTTGCCATTGATTCTTTGAAGCCAGGAGGAAATTTTAGGTGTAGACTATTCTAGATAGAAAGGATTTAAGGGACTATGGGTGCCATGGTGGTGGTATGATTGGTAACATACATCTAAAGAGGGGTGACTCTATTTGGTGAATCATGTGTGGTGTTAGAAATCAATGTCATCTCTTTAAAATTAAGTGAAAAAAATTTTACTGGTGGTGCAGTGGGTTAAAGCTCAGCACTATGAAGTTATCTGTAGCCACTTCAGTTCGATCCCCAGCCAGGGAGGTGACCCACATGGCACGGCAGACCTCTTCTGACCTGCCCACTGCTCCTCTGAGCAGTGTACTTTGTCAATCTGCCTGTTCTGCTCCCCACTCTGTCTCCCGTGAATCCTCTTACCCCTGCATGTCTGGCTGGTATCCCAGATCTTGTATGCATAAATAAATCTTACAAAAATATATTTCTTAATGAGAGCACTGTCCCTCTGGGTGACCTGACACAGGGAAAAGCTCACAAAACAATTTCCCTCCATTGGAGACAAACATAAAGACCTCAGGGGACCTGCTGATCTTCAGGGCAGGGAGCAGGAATCTGTGAAATTATGATCCTAAATTCCCACTTTCCTTTTCCTTTGATTGAATTAGCACTAAATCGGAAAATTAGGATGCTGCTGCTGTATCACTGGAAAATGTTGGTGTCGTGTTGCCTGCTGTACCCATGGCCAATTTAACAGCGACAGGATTGGACTTTAATGTCAGAAAACTGGTGATCTGAGAGAATAGGGTTTTTTTTTACCCCAAAATCTCATTCTGACATTTCTACTCAGGCCGGCCTTTTTCTGGTGAACTATACAAAGACAGTTATTCATCAGTGAGCCTGCCACAACAGCCCAGGGCGGTTGGGGTCCTGTCTTCATCCTGTCCCCAGTTTGTTGTGGCCTGGTTGGTCATCTTGACCTTAGTGGATGCTGTTCTCCTGGTCAGCGGGAAAACACCCTGTTTTTCAGATGACATCAATGTCCAACACTTCTTCAGGCAGCACAGGTATAAGACTCTCAGCTCAAAACAAGATTTTCAGGTCAAAGACATTGTTAATCTCATGGTGTTTTCATGTAACCCATGCTGTGTGTTTGAGGAGATTCCTATAGTAGGTTGTTCTCTTCCTCCATTGTCCTTATCATTTCTTGAAAGTCAGACATCAGCTATAGGCGTGAGAAGGGCTGTGGGGCCATCAGAGGGGGGAGGTGGGTTCCAGCTCGTGCACCTGCCCCCACTGGCAGCCCCTGCCCACAGGCCCCAGATAAACATCTCAGGAGGGAGGTGCTTGAACTGTCGCCTCTGAGGAGGGTCCAGGGTGGGGAGGTGCCTGTGCCATCCCTGACACCCCTGGTCTGCTGTCACCCCTGCCTGACACAGGAGCCACT